TATATATATATATATATATTATTATTATTATTATTATTATTATTATTATTATTATTATCTTTAATGGAGATTCATATTCAAGTACATAAGTTAATAAAGTTCCGCTCTTAGCACATGAACTAGTTTGGTCTCATTTTTAGAAACGGTAGGTTGAAGTTTTAAATTATAAAGTGGGCGACAAAACCATCCACTATGATGGATAGATGTCTATTATCTAATGAAATTATCCTGGCATTTAAACTACTTGTCGAACATTATTAGATCACCGGAGCACCAATTATGAGTAAGAATTAGGTCGAATTAGGTCAAAACCCTATCAGATGATTGCGACGTGGAGTATTATCAACCGTCCAATTCTGGCATTTCACAATCATGTGGTCCACGATAATTTCACGTTGGACGTTGCAAGGGATTAGTTAGTTAATTAATTAAATTGTAAAGTGATTTATATAAAATAGATTAACTAATAAGAGGAAAAAAGCTGCTTAATACTTGTAAACCTTTAAGCAAATCAACGAGAAATTAGATCATTGGTTCACTTTTCTAACAACGTGCACGCTTGAGTATAGGATGCTATAAAAAATTACTTGAAAATGTATGTTTCTTGAAATTTACTCATTAATTTAATTGTAGTGCAGCATTTAAAATTTTTAACAGTAATCACATGCCTCTCATGCGTCACTCTTTATGATTAGCACTCTTAGGGTCCGTTTGATTACAAAGATGGAATTTGGATTGAAAGAAAACGAATTCCTAGAAATTGAATTGCCTAGAAATCGTTTTACTGAAAATTGTCAATTAATAGTGTTTGATTGATATAATTTTTCACTTGAAAAATGTTGAAATAAAAGTGTCATTTGGTATTCGTTTGGCTTTGTTTTTCATGAAAATTGTCAATTTAAGGGATATCTACTTCTACAATTATTTATAAAATTTGTTTCCATTGGAAAAAAAATTCCAAAAAAAAAATAATCTATGTTTTGGTGTTCGTTTAATTTTGTTTTATATGAAAATTGTCAATTTAAGGAATATCCTCTTTTACAATTATTTCTAAAATTTTTTTCTATTGCCAAGAAAAAAAAGAGAAAAAAAGAGCTGGAAAACATAAAACCACCTACCCTATGGGAAAATGAATTCCCAAAAAACTTGGAAATTGTGAGTGTGTAAAGGAAATGTGGAAAACAAATTGCCAAGAAAATTTTAGTTATCAAACAAGCCAAAAGTGGAAAATGGAATTTGTTTTCCATTTTTCATGAAAAATTTTGGGCTATCAAACATAGCCTTAGTGTAAATTTTTTTTTTTTTTAAGTAAGTACAATAATATCATTAACTAAATCACCAATCTTGGCTGTAATAGGACCATGTTCTATAGGCAATTAGAAAGGGAAAAAATCACAACTTAGGAGTATTGTTCACATCAATTCACAAATCTGGTATAAAGTTCAACAATTCAAAATTCAGGTTTCTATAAAATTAATTGAAAATATTTATTAATTAAATATAATAAAGTCACAGTTACATGATTAATTGCTACAGATTCATAATTATTGGTCATATATTTATTTATTGGTCACATATCATCGAATTAATTTGTTACAGATTATTTCAAAGCCATAAATCAAAAATTTTGTAGGTCACAGAAAATATTTTGAGGTCACAAATCAAAAATTTTGTGGGTCATAGATTATTTCATTGGTCACAGATAAAAAATTTTGTAGGTCACAACTCACATCATTGGTCAGAAATTCAAAAAATTATAGGTCACATGTCACATATTTTCAAATTTAATGGTCACGAATTACTTTTTAATGACAAATGATCAAATTTTAATGTCATAGTTTACGGTCATAATCACAGACGTGACCATACAGTTGGTCATAGATATCCAACTCGATCCCGACACCACCATCGCATTCAACACCACAACACCACCACCAACACCAACAACACAATCGCCACCAGAAACTATTGCAGCCACTAGAACCATCGAGACGGCCAGAAAACACCTCCAAACACATCCAACAATACACCATCTCCCAACCTTACCAACACCATTACACCCACATTACCACTGACCAGAAACACCACCATCGTTGCACCACCACCACCACCACCACTAACAACAAACACTCCTATCCTACGGTGTCCCACTGCCACCACTTCCACGACCACCACCACAACCAACATTACAACCACATCCCCTCAAAACCACCAACAATCAGATCCTACTACCAACATCACCACCACAACCACGGCCTAGATCTGAAAATACAACCAACAAAACCTCAAAATCACTACCTACAGATCGAAAAGTGAAAGAGATACACTCAAAATCACTACCTACTGAACGTAGAAGAAGGTCGAGGTCATGAATTTGCTTCGACAACCGATCGGCGACCATGTCGAGGTCCGATTGTACGTCACATCTGCTTCGAGTGACGGCAGTCATCACCACTCTTCGCAGTATCTGCAGCGACGTCGGCGTTGCGAGCCATTGTGCAACGACGTTCACATGTTCGGAGGAGGTTATTGCTATGACGCTGTGGTCTCCGGTGACGGTGGCTGCTCGTGTGATGAAAAGGATAGAGAGATGGGATGGATAGAGAGAGAGACTGAGCGAAAGGCGAGAGGGAGAGAGAGAATGAAGGATGAAGTGAAATAAATTTCAATTTTAGGGTTAGTATTATACCGGATATTTGATTAGAAAAGTTGGGCTCATGATTTATGCACAGTGAATTTGGAAACCCTGGAATAGTGTAATTTCCTCTATTAGAAATCCCTTTTTTCTTCGTGATTTATCTATATACCTATTTGGATTTTATATTAAATCTTGTTCATGGTACAATGAGAAAGGGCGACACTTTGAACCCATTGAAATGAGAAGTTTATAAAAGAAATTTTTGAAACACTCATTTCATATATGGTAAGTTATGAAAAGGATACGTGAAAAGATTTTGCTACGTTTTCATCTCTTTAATTCGATTTGGTTCAACTCATCATCACTCCAATGCTAACCTTTGAAATCAATTTTTATACACACGCGTGTGTAATTTTCATTTTCTATTATAAAATTTAAATAATTTATCTTCAACGTTACTGCATCCAATAATGAGATAAGTATCTTATCGTTTATCTTCTAAGAATAAAGTTTATTTACGAATATTGGTGATTTCCCTCCACCGTAATTTAGGCAAGCAATAAATCTCTTAATTATGTTCAGTAGTCTCTGATTGAACTTATCATACATATTACAATTGCATAATTAAAAAAAATAAAATTAAAATTAAAAGCTTATAATTTGTTCAAAACTTTTTAATTGGAAATTAATTTGGCTTTAGTTTCTCGACAGCTAATAGGACAATGGTGCAATGGCCAACGAAGCCAATTAGTCTATGAACAAAGAGAAGGAATATAACAAAGGTATAATTTCAATAAATACCTATGTTCTTTCTCTAACAAAGTAAACTTTTGAACAAGGTGGTTCGACAAAATTATAAGGAGATTTCAAGGTGGTCCATGACATCTCCAGGCTAAAAGGTTCATATCTGTTCAATGCTAAGCATGTCATGTAACTACAAACTTCAAAATAATTACGAGGATCCCCTGAATAAAAGCTACAAAATCTATTAATAATGAGAGATATCTGATCACATTTGAAATAGAATTGGTCCAAGAGGATCATCGGCCACAATGAGATTGGGACACGACCCAGACTCTTATCGGAGAGGTATTGGAAATATTACTAATTCATGGATTTTTACCCGTAAACATGCTCAAATATTGAGTTAGTATTGCAAGATCATATGAAATGAAATGAACTGAAATCTTTCTATTTAAGATGACAACAAAAATAAGACCAATCCAACAAAAATAAGACCAATCCAAGATTTTCATCAACGTATGCGTTATACAAAATTGTCAAGAATTTATTTCACTTGGATAAAAGTGAAAATCACATATATCAAATGGGAAGTCCCAAATCGTTGATCAAATCACTTCGTCCACCTTTGACAATTAGTCTCTTATCGTGGCACGCAGAGACCTAATTCTGAAAAAAGAGAGAATCAATACTTAAGCAAATGATGACTTTCAAGGCAATTCCAAAGCAAAATACTCCACACACAACTAATCGACTAAATGAAAGAAAAAAATTCTATTGAGTGAATAATCGATCCCATTCCTACGAGCCACTTGATTATTGAGTGAATAACTATTGTTCCACATTGATTTTCATACATTATGTTGATAAAAAGCAGATTGTCTCAAGAAATTCAGCAGAAAAATAAATGTAAGGAACCATACCAAAAAAAAAAAAAAAAGCCTGCTTGGAAGTTTTAGGGTATTGGTTTTGGGTGTATGCGATGGGTCCGATTAGGGGTGATTTTTAGTCGCGATTTTTAAAACAATCCAACCCATGTTTGAAAGTTTATCATCCAGTGGTTTTTAGTACCTACGCTAGAAACTTCACAAGTTCAACCTGAAATTTACCTCCTAGTCCGATGGTGTCTCAATGCTATAATGTTCTTGCCAGATTTCTGGATTTTATGTATTTTCTTTGTTCGATTTATCAAGATTATTGTGACCTTTTTGTTTCATTTCTGTATACTGGTAATTGGTTTAGTATAATAATATCTTAATTTAATGAAATTCAGCATTGGGCACGCATAATTTAGCATTTGGCACTAATTTTGAATATGGGTTGTTTTGGCAGGTTAATTTGCTGATATCTGTGTTTGATTTTATGAGAAGTGAATTTTCTGTAACTTGGATATGGCCTTGTGTAATTTCAATTTGGAAATAACTGTTTTAGAGGATAAAATTGGAAGAAAAATGGAGAAAGGGGGTTTAGAAGTACCACCCAAATTACTCCACACTGATCCCAAAAACTAAAAAGTACTGATTTTTTCAACCTTTCATAAACGATGCAACTGAAAAATAGTCAAAACTAGTGAGAAAAAACTGGCAAGAGGCTCTTATGCAACGTGCTAAAGCTGTCTATAACAAATAAAATGAATAGTTCTAAAGAATGAGAGTACATCAACATGACTAGTTCCAGGGGTAGCAAAAGAGAGAGAAAATAACAAACAAAAATGGAAAACGTGTATAAAATGACTGATCTAGGTATAAAAGTGAAAGTATTTCTGGCTACAACAAGAACATTTTCACAAATTGTCAACATGTAAAGTAACAAGTTCTTTGGCAGCTTAAAAGTAAGTCAAACTTGTATATAAATTTTTGCTTCTGAACATGTTTGGATTAATTATTTTCTTTCATTATATGTCAAAATTTCGAAAGTAGCATAAGGATTACTTTCCCAAAAAAAAAAAAAAAAAAAAAAAAAAAAAAAAAAGGATAAGATAGGATTCTCGCTTAATCCGTTCTTATGACTACACTATGCAAGTACATTTATTTCCCTTGGAAAACAATGAAATGCACAAGAGACCATCCTTCTGTTGCAGCATGATTTTTAGATTCACGGGCAACGACCTAGGGATGGGTTTCCCTTCGACAGGGGGATAGAAGTCAACCTTTTTAGAGCATATCAAAACCAAGAGGTAATTCTGGTTAAACCTAGTAAGGCAACCGAATTCGGAGTTAAAGGATTCATCAAACATGCACAAAATTCAACTATAGAGAAAAAGAAATGCTAGATGGCTCTTAGTAACCAAGTTTAAATGGTTTTCCATTTCCCCCAAAGCCAGAATTCAGGTTCTATCGAGTATTGTATACCCAACATGCACTAAGTGTACATACATAATGTCTTTTGTTGGTGATGATTGAGCTATATTACCTAGTGCTTAAATGGATCAAATAAAGGTAATTTCGCATAACGAACAGCAAGAGAGAATAAAAATTTGGTGAATTCTGAGGAGAGGAGAGGAAGCAGAGAAAGAAGAAAATTGATTTACTTTCCCAAGACTTGGGCAAAATCGCTCATTAAGACATCAAACTCGTCACTTTCTCGGATGTTTATGTAATAAAGATAAATGTAGCAGTTTGGGATCCATTGGCCGTTGGGATTTTGTGATTTGAAATATTTGAATAGAAGTTGTGACTAAAATGAAAAAAGAAAATAAAAAAGGAAGTTAAAAGATACTGCTTTTGATTTGAAACTCGTGAGACACTAGAGAATCTAATTAGTGACCTCAACAGGATACTACATCACAAACAAGCACTGCAAAATTATAATTCAACAAAACAAATTTAAGACCTAAGTTAAATGAACTGAAATATACACTATAACAGTTTCAGAAAATAAAATAACACCTACATCCAAAACTTCAAATTCCAAAAAAAAATGGCTTGAAAGCCTTCTCCCGGCATAATTACCAATTTTCCTTTTCCTTGTATATGCACCGCATCAACAATTAACACCTAAATTACTATTTTGGCAAAAATCTCTAAATGTCCAAAAAAGAAAGAAGAAATTATAATCTCACATTATTAATTGCTGTGTGTCAAACCCAGAAATTTCATTTGGAACAAGATAGTTTCCCGAAGTGGTGGCAATGGGTCTAGCCGGCCGCTTGACTCGGTCCATCTACCCACGAGCTCGTGAGTTCACGAGTCGAGCTGAGCCCGCGAGCTCGTGAGTTTTTATTTATTTTTATTTTTAAAATTTTTAAAATTTTTGGACCTTTTTGTTCACATTTTTTATGTGGGAGCGAACCCCCGCTCGGCTCGGGCTCGAGCTCATCCCACAACGAGCTCAAGCTGTCCATGGGCCGAGCTTTGATGAGCCGAGACGACGAACCTTTTGTCACCCCTAGTTTCCCGATATAGATATCTAGAATTAGTAGCACAAGTTGCCAAACTGCTATGAAGTTAAAACTTTAACAAAATTGAACAGGCAACCGGCATAGGCAACAATTTTAGCATCCAAGCACCCATACACGACCAAAACTCCAGACAGCAAGGAGTCAAAATATACGAGAACTTGATGCAAAGATATGTTACAATTGGAAGCAGAGCCGTACCATGCACAATGCAGACAAAAAAAACCCACATAATGTGCTTTCAGCTTTCCCATTATTAATTCTGAAATTATATTTATTAACCACTTACTCTCCACATACATGTCACAACATGCTATACTTTATTCTATCTCTCTCTATGTTTCAATTTAGTTAAACTAGAAAATTACCTATGAAATATATTTTATGCACCAAAGCGGCTCATTAGAAGTAAGTCATACTTTCTTTAAGTTACTTCTTTATTAACAAAACTTAGTATTATATACTTACTATCTAAAGAAGTAATATTAAGCAGAGCCAAACATGCTTGTATCAATCCCAGATAAAGTTCATGTAAACAGTGAAAACATGAGGAATTTACCCATAAAAAAATAAAAAATAAAAAATAAAAATTAAAAAAGAGAGAGAGAGACAAGAAATATACCAACTTGGCAGGAACTATGAAAGACAAAAGTGGTATGCTTACAGAAACATTAGAAAATATATCAAACTCCAGGGTTGGCACTGCAGAGCATACCCTGAGACAGCGACCTGCAGCCTTTGGTGTCGGTGCCAAGGCACGACGTAAGCCGAGCAGAGGAGACCGCTGTGTGGAGAGGTAGTAGAGACTGGAATGCACCTAATTGAGCTAATGGCCTAAAGTTCAAAATTCAAAAGTAAAAAATCAAAGATCGATTCAAGAATATAAAAGAGACTTGAATTCTGGAGATTCTGTATTTAGCATTTCAACCCTGAAAATTAGAATTCAAAATAAATTCTTGTGTTAAGAACACACTATGGCATTCAATTTAGGAGGATTCGTGTTTATAATATTGAAATAAAACCATCCACGTAACTAATATCGGACATCAAATAAACCCAATTCGAGACACTGGCATCAAATTCATATTTAATGTCAAAAAACCCATTTTAAACAAAACCCGTGTAAGATAACGGCCTGAAATAACAAATAAAATGTTCAAAACTGAATCTTTATTCACAAATAATAAAGCGTCTTGAGAAGGAATTTGTTTAGGTTTTGAAGGGTAGGAAAAAAAAAAAAAACCTTGTGAAAAGAGATGGAGATGGGCGTGAGGATTGAACAAAGCATCCGGGATTGATTGAAGGCTTTGAAATGGTGGATTTGAGAATGTTAACCGCGGGTCTGGAGAGTGTTCTGTAGCGAGAAGCCATAGTTGATTGCAGTTTGTTCGAGGATCGAATTAGGGTTTTGGCTAGGTTTTAGAAGATATTATCGGTTGTGGAACGTTATGCTTACAACGTTGTACTTTCACTGTTTGGGTTTTAAGAAATCTTCACAACTGGTCTCCATTCTATTGATCCAGTAAAACGTTACCCCTTCAACTTTAAAAAGAACAAATTAATCTCTAACTTTTTCCGGGTCTTTGTTAAATACTTTAAAATTGTTCCCAACAAATTAACTTAGCTCAAGTTTGGGGTAGTTAAAAATTAGATTTTTAGAATTTGATAAAAATTGATGAAATGCATGATTAAAAAATGATAAAAATTGTGAATATTCTCAAATTTATGGTTAAAATTAAAGTTTTAAAATGCATAATACGTGACAAAATATTTCGATAAAGCATCAAGCATTACAAATATTTGCATACCTATGCGAAGCATATACGTAATGATGGATTTTTTAATTTTAAATATTATAAAATAATGCATTCTTTGAAATTTATATATATTATTCAATTTTTCAATATATATATGCTCAAAATCATAAATACTACAATTATTTAATAATCAATTCTTACAATCAGATTGACGGGATTTAAATGATTTAGTTACTTGGATGACAGAGTATCTTGTCTAACTCTTTATTGGGTCAATTTAATTTCCTCTTCTTCGTCTAAGTCGTTTTCTGTGTCATCCAATATAAAATCATCTTAATTGATCTCTCTAGTTTCAACTCGAAAAATTCTATTACATCTTGTAAATGATAAAAATATCATTTTCAACCTCTACCTCATCATCATAACCATTAACCTTTCAAAATTATGCGTTACTAATCAGGGACGGAGCTAGAATTTAATCTCATTGTGGTCAAAATTTAGCTACGATTTTTTTTTTTGGCCAAATAAGACAAAAACATAATATTAAATTCCTACGTACAATTGTTCTTTATTGGATTTTGTACTTTTATTGTGTCATAATAAACTTTCATTTAGCATGGTTTTTCAATATACATAACGAAGTTGTTCATTTTCCTGTTACTTAATTTCTTTACAACTTCTTAAGTTTACAGAATTAGTAAATGTACTTATCTAGGTTTTGAACTCTTTAGTTGAGATCAATACTAGTTATAACAAATCAAGTTATGCTACCTAAAAATCGAGTCATCAGATTAATATTTTATTCCTCTTTAATCATGTTCAATTGTTTTTCGCGCATAAAAATATTTGAAACGAAGGCGTGGAGAATATCTTATTGTAATACTCTAGTAAAATTGGTCGGATAAAATAAAATTAAAATAAGAGATAGAAAGCAAACAAGTGCCAAGTAGTGACAACTAAAAAGGGAAAAGAAAAAGTGAAACTAACGCCCAGTTTGATTTACCAAGTTTTCCATGGAAAATGGAAAATTAATTCCATTTTTCATCTTTTTGACTGTTTGATAGCTTTTTTTTCAAGGAATTCGTTTTCTTGTTTTTCTTGGGAACTAGCAATTTTTCATGTTTTCATAGAATTCGAATTCTCACCACATTGGTGAGAATTCAAATTCCATGCCATTGTAACGATTTATTTAATTTTTTTTGAATTTTTTTTTTGGTAATGGAAACAAATTTTAAAAATTATTGTATAAAAAATATTTCCCTTTAATTGATAATTTTTATGTAAAATAAAGTCAAACGAACACCAAAAGATAGATAATTCTCTTGAATTTTTTTATTTTTGGCAATGGAAACAAATTTCATCTCCAATACAAGTAAAATCTATCTCTTTAATTGATAATTTTCATTTAAAACAAAACCAAACGAACAAAAAAAAACTTTTATTTTAACATTTTTCACGTGAAAAATTATACCAGTCAAACAAAATAATTTATAATTCTCAGGAAACCAATTTCTAGGCAATTCAATTTCCTGAAATTCGTTTTCAATTTAATTCAATTCCATTTTTTCAATCAAACGGACCCTAAGTGAACACGTTTCTTTTAGTTAAGATGGACTTATAAAATGAAAGAAGGTAGAGAGAGAAGAAACAAGAAAATAATAATAATAACGAAGAGAAAATTTAAAAAAATAAAAATAAAAAATAAAGAAGAAAAAAAGAAGCAGCTAAAATGGGAAGGAGAGAAGGCAGAATTATAATCATGACCTACTTCATTTTATTGTTATAGTTATAACAATGTCAATTTCCTTATGTGGGGGTCAGTTACAAGAAGATAAAGGGTAAACATAAAATTGATTAAAAAAAAAAATAGAAATTTTCTGTGGCGTTAATTGATCCCACATGAACCCACCATGTGGATTCGACCATGTTAATAACATCACTTGCTAGTAAAATTACAGGAAAAATTGAAGAAGGATGCTCGAGCTCGATGTAGATAGTTTGCAACTCTATGATTTTTTTTTTAATTAACATCAACATCCTACAGATTGTTGTATATAATTCACGAGTTTGGATGATTTGGACTTATTTGATATTTGTTGGGCTCAATTGGATGAAAGAATAAAGAAGGGGCTAATTAACTGAACTTATGGACACCAAAAATATGTACATAAATGATGTTTCAAGTGGTTGTTTGAAAAATTTTAAAAAGTTGAAATTAAAGTCAACAATTAATTTTAATCATATATTAATATTTTATGGGACTTATAACTTCTATGAATTTTTTCAATCATAAATTTCATTAAATTTATCGAAATGTACTAATTTTTTTATTGAAATTTAGTCGAACAACTCCTAATTATATCCCAAAGTTACATTTTAAAATAATGTTATCTAGCATTACTGGAATTAGAGTACCAGTTTAAGGTGACATGCAAGTGATTGGACATCTTAAATGTGATTTATTTTCTTACTTTAAAGGTGATTGAAAGTAACTTAAATTGATGCTTAGTGCTATTAATTCTAAATAGTATTACTCTACTTTTTAAGTATTGCAAGACACTCTTTTCTTTGATAGCCAATAAATTCGGACGATGAGGTTAAAATTTTGTTGATTTGATTATATTGACACCATAATGATTGGCTCGACCTGAAAATAACTTGGATCATTGGAGCAGCTTAATGAAGGTTACTCACGATCCAATTCACTTTAGAAAGTGGCAACCGTTCGATTGGTATTTTGGTATTGAAATTGAGTCCGATTTTCACATGATTTGAAGTATTTCACGACGATTAATAACGAAGTTCTGGTCTCCATGGACAAATAACATTGTAGCCAAGTTCAAAACCCATGACGTGCCTTAAACTCAACCATTATAGGAACGTTCCAAATTACACTATCCCTCTCGTGTCCTTCTAAACTGTCCAAAGAATTTCAACCACATTTTCCACTGGATATCATATACCTATTTCCAATGACTCCCAACTGTCATTAACTGCTTTTCCATTCGAAAAATGGAACTTCTTGCATCCACTTCATCCGCATCGGACCACCACCACCGCACGCAACCCTTAACTGAGCGCGTAATCCGAGCCCTCCACCCCCGGCTTCGCCTCCTCCATAGGTCAGATTCCATGTTCTTCGTATTAGGTTCAACAGGAAATGTCTACACTGTGAACTTATGTGCCACCTCATCATGTACTTGCCCTGATCGAAATTATCGGACGACCCCTTGCAAGCACATTCTATTCGTTCTAATCCGCGCGTTGGGTGTTCGACTCGACGATTCTTGCCTCTGGAGGAGGACTCTTCGGCCATGCCAACTCAATCGCCTACTGAATTTGCCTACATTAACTGAAGCCTTAGCCAGCGCCACCCTCTGTGAGAAATTTCACCGGCTGTTTTTCAAGGCCCGGCCGAGCGGTTCTCAGACACCGGTGGTGGTGGAAGATGGGAGTATTTGTCCAGTTTGTTTGGAAGAAATGGGAAAAGAGGATAAGATGGTGGCTTGTGGGACTTGCAGAAATACAATTCACGAGGAGTGTTTCTTGGCATGGAAGAGAAGTGGTGGCCGAAGAAAATCCACGACCTGCGTGCTCTGCCGTGCGCGGTGGAGAGAGGGAGCAAATCAAGAAAAATATTTGAATCTCTCAGCTTATGTTATTGAAGATGACACAGTGGAGGGTGAGGGTGAGGGTGATGATCACTGCACTTGATTAAGCATTCAAGATTCACGATAGGCTATCAAAGTTTGTGCAATTTAGAATTTGGACTTTGTTACATGTACATCAAATTTTACAATAAGGGATTACATAATATCCATGTAGCACTTTATCATTTGTCAATTCAAACACACGGTCAACTTTTCCTTCCAATCTTTTCCCTCCACTTCGTTTTCAGTAACTATTTATATACCATTTTTATATACAAGTAGCAAAATCTTTAGAATTTATATACTAGTTCATTTGTGAAATACATGTATATGTAATGATTCAGAGAGAAGGAAAAAAAAAAAAAATAGCATGCAATTTTGTATAGTATGGATTTCCTTTTTTATATGGCAAAAATAATGATGCCCATTTATGGTTCCCTACTCACTTGAGTTATTCGAGCTTATGGAAAACGTACAAGTAGGTTATATTAATATATTTCGATTTTCTTCCAAATGGGTCATGAAGTTTTTACCCAAGTTAAGAATACCCTCAATATAAGCTAAGAAGTTTTTACCCAAGTTAAGAAAATTCACTTTTCCATAGAACTGTTGAAGGCAAAAGAAAGAGAGAACCAAAGAGATAGGCCTATTTCAAGAAAAAAAAAGAAAAGAAAATGGCGTCTCCTTCATCTTCAACAATCAGAGCGTTTGTTTCATTACTCTTCAGATTCTCAAATGGGATTTCTCTCAAAACCTCTTAACTCATTCACTCTTCACAGTAAATCCTCTTCTTTGGCTCTCTTTTCCTATTAATATATATGAAACACACATTAAAGATGGGATTTTTATGTGAAAATTGTGACTTTTATTTATAGATTATAATTGGGATTATGATTGTATACGCAATGGTATTCCTGAGTAAGATTTTTGGTTCTTGTTTATTGGGGAATTGATTTGATTTTAAAGAATTATATTTCGGATTTTTAGGAACACGTTTGTCAATTAGAAAGCTACAATTTTAACTGGAGAGTTGGGATTTGATATTAGAACTTTGTTTTGAATTTTTTTCAGGCAGATGTTGTTTAAGTAGAAAGCTTCAATTTTTTATTGGAGTGCTGGGATTTGATTATAGAGAGTTTTGGTTTGGATTTTTAACAGGAACATGCTTGTTAAGTGGAAAGCTACAATTTCTGATTGAAGAGTTGGGATTTGATTGTATTAAGTTTTGTTTTGAATTTTTGTTCAGGAACATGTTGTTTAAGTAGAAAGCTACAATCTTCTGCGTGCTACTCATCTTCTGGCATATGGGTCTCGGTAAATGAATGGCTAGAATGCAATTCCAATAGAAAGATTTTGACTTTCCCTCCTCTACGTATGGGTAGACTTTCATGCAAAATTGCTGGAAGAAAGGTAGTCACACAGCACATATATTGAACGCAACTTAATAATTCTCTTTTTGGAGCAATTTTAATTTATCAAGTTGTTTGATTTTAAATGAGATTTAAAGGAATTACAAACTGCGAGGAGGTGGGAAATATATATTAGAAAAACTTTTTACTGATAAAAGCATTGAAAATGTTGCTTTTCGCAGTATATTTGATGGACATTTAGTTTGGGAGGATCGAAGTATGTACATTTCAATGGTCTGTGTTTTTTCTTTTTGTTTTGTGATATTAGGATTGTTGGAAGAGCTTTGGCTCTTATCGAACTGTTTGCTTTAAATGAAAAGTTGAAGACATATATTTTATGAATTTTTGTAGAGCATGTCAGTGAATGATGCAGCAGGATGGGTATCTCAATTTTCTATGCATTTTTTTTTTTATTTGTATAAAAAAATTAACAAGATATACATTATACAACTTTAATCCTATTGAATGCCTGTTGGAGTCTCCTTTAAACTTAGCCTTGTTAAAGTGAAGACAACATCAAATTGATAGGCATCTTATTAGGTAGATCATGCAACTGTATATCATATCTCTCATGCAATCCTTGTTCTGATATCTCTACGATTAATCTGATGTTCCACATTTAATTGAGTTTTTGGCAAATGACTGTATGTCTGTCGACAGAAAATTGAGAAACTTGATGCTTCAGTCAGTATTTGATTGTTACAATCTTTTGATCATCTGTGTTCTAAGCTTTACAGGGGCAATTTCAAAAGAAGAGTTTTGATTATTGAGTTTAATGTTTCAGAAATGCATCTTACATGCAGACTGCCCAAGGTGCTAAGAAGATGAAGCTGTATTCAAAAATTGGGAAGGAGGTCGTATGTGCGTAAGTTAGTTTCTACAACCTTTCCACAATGTGATATGACAGATTATAATTACTAGCCTATGTTTGGAAGGACCCAGAAGATATACAACACAACATTATACAAACACACAGAATTAGAATCATTAAGGCACCATAACCAATGTAGTAAGCACTCAGAATTGAACTAACTCTCAGGTTTACTTTTATGGGCTGTTGTTTTTTTGTAACAGACTGTTTGAAGCAGTAGCAGATTTGAGACTGATGGTAGGTTACCTTGATGGTTGGCCAGGAACACTGGTCATGCTGGTAGTGTACCCAAAACAAGGGTCTTGCTTTCTCTTTTACACCCTTTAGGCTCTTCATTTGACATCTATCACTAGTTTCTAATTTTGAAGCCATCACCTGATTTAGAATGCAATGAACATTGAACAATAATGAAACTTGAGAAGAAAGTAAGAGAAAGAGAGAAGAAAGGGGAGAGAATCAAGAGAATTTAGAGGGAGAAAATATGAGTTTATTCAGTAATCAAGTCTAACTATTACAATGCATAAGCTTCCTTTGTATATGGTAAACTAATCTAAGTAGGAACCATCCATAAAATCCTAGAAAATCTATAAAATATAAAATTAGTTTAATTCAAACTAGAAAACTATAATAAACTAAAGTTGGCATAATAGTCGAGGTGTTAACGAATAACAGATCTTTTGCAGCTGTTAGAGAGGTAGTGATGGATTGTGGGGGGAAATGGCAGATCCTGGATCCATCAATTTCAAGTTTAGGTCTATGGCTATGGTGGAGTTGGCATAATATACTTGCTGTTGCTTTGGATGCTGGTGCTGATGATGTCATTGAACCCTCAGTGGATGAAGATGATCGAATGAACGGTACAAGATATTGTTCCTTTGAATGTATGTTATCTTTTCACAGTATTCAGTTGTCCTGATCCCTCTATGTTTGTGTCTAACATAAATCTGCTATAAATTAATTTTTGTTACTAAGATAATAATTTTTTAACTGCGTTAGGTTCTAATGCAGAATATCTCAGATGTGTAATTTATGCTTGGAAGAGTCTAATGTCCATAATTTGTTATGGTCATGCTTCAAGTTTAAGGTTCAAAAATGTGTAATAATAATTACCTTGCACGTTCAAGTCTGATGAATTTATTTAGAAGGTTACATTTTTTCTTTCTTTGTTGACAATCCTGTTGAAGATGATGCTTCTGAATCATATTTTTCTAAATCATATGCTTATTCTTGTCAATAGATGTTTCAAAATCGTAAGTTCATCAGAGAACTACCCAATCATATTAGCAAAGCTACGTGAGGAAGGAATAACATTTGAACCTGACAAAGGATTTGAGCTTCTTCCTCTTACTCTGATCGAGGTAGGCCAAGAAGACATTTTTTTCTTCCATTTATTATCTTTTGCCCAGTGCTTTCTCATAACCATCTATTTAGAAATTTTGAGCTAATTAAAAGCTAATTTATAAATGCATGAAGAAGGTTATAATCAATGTTTTGAAAACCGACTTGGACATCGACCCGAAAAAGGTCAAGGGTTAAGGGTCAAAAGTTCGAACTGGATGTAATAAATAAATAAATACACATACGCAAACAATTGAATACTATAATAATAATAATAATAATAAATTTTTTTTTAATTTGTAAATTAAATAAATGAAAAGATGGAGGTGAATATTACAATTTAGTTAGTTGGGACCCAAAATTATATTAGTCAATTAGCCACACATTTGAAAGATGATTTTGATGGGCATTTTAACACTTTTTGCTATCCCACATCAAAAGATCATTCAACCAATTGAGAGAAGTGCATCTATAAAAGAAGCATTTCATCCAAGATTCCTCTATGGGCCTTTGATTGTAGTGCATGAGCCCATTAATAAGGTTAAAAATTTTAAAATTAAAATTGGTGAAACCGGTAAATATCCATCGGTTCACTAATTCACTGTTCAACTGGCCAGTTCAAGGGGTTTTGAATGATTTTTACAGTAGTTGGTTAACCGAATGTGATCGGATCGGTTTTGGGCCCGTTGAACGGACTGGGCTGGGAGGTTTTGATAATATGAGTTATAATAGAAACCCATAAGATAAGGTTGTCCATGTACATGAATGAAGAATTTTATACAAAATTATCTCCTTCAAAAGGAATTCTAGTTGTTCATTCTGAAGATAATCATCAGCTCTATGTAACGTCATCACTTTGAGGAATTATATCCTTAATATCATGCTTGGTGAAATGATATAAATGATTATTTTGTGATTTGTAGGTTGATGATGAGGCCATGGACTTGAACAAGGAATTGAAGTCCAAATTACTCGAGCTCGATGATGTTGATGCTTTATAGACGGATCAAAAGTAATATTACCTCGAGTGGATTTGCAGATCAATGCTTATTTTTGCCTTCCCAGCTGCTCAGCATCCAACTGAGGTTTTGGGACAGTCAGATTTTGTATCTGGGGCTTTGCTTTCTGAGCTAAGCCTTAACACTTGACAGGAGAATCTGAATTGCATCTCATCAAAACTTGCGCAACTTCAGGTGTGCTCTTACTATTCTTTATTGTGGGAAACAATTTATTTACTACTTAATTCGATGATTACAGCATCAAAGAACTGAAATATTACTCAGTGGTTTAGGAGATATGTATTGCGCTCTCTCTCTCCGCCCCTTCTTCTCCCTCCCTCTTGTCGAAAATGAACTACAGTTTCTTAGTAATGAAAATCATAGATGCTTGTCTATGTTTAACTCCCTTTTCTAACTCATTGAGATATGACATGCTAACAGTTTGGAATACACACAGTCTAATTATAATGCTCACTTATGACTTCGACCATGCATTAGAAAGAACGTAACTGGCGCTCATATTTCATGTTAGGTTGCCCTAGTTTCCTACATATAATGAGGGCATTTTTCTGTCAGATTAGATAGAGAGGTGTGAAGAAGAAACCTTATAATCCCTTCTCATTGTAATGAAAACTTCTGGAACTGCAAGTGGACGTAGGTTGAACTAGTATGAATAATTAAATATATTTTGTTTTTACGTGTGCATTTCTGTTAGCTGAATTGTTCACTATTGCTGCTAGGTTTGGGAGTAGGCTTAACCGGTAAAACACTGATAACTTCTTCATTAATAAGATGATCGGAATTTACTTACAATGTAGTTTTGTTTGTTGCATACACGATAAGATGCAATGCATATTACTAAAACAACATATCATGCTGATGACCGCTACACAAACATTTTTATTGTACAAATATCATCTATATCAACTGTATATTGAAATATTTTTGATGGATAACTGTATATTGAAATATAGAAGTTATATAGCACATTTGACACAGTAACGCATAAATATTCTTCAAGTTTAAGCTTTTGGAACCCAACATCCATGGAGTCCATATGGAAGGCCATAAGGGAATTTTGCTCTGGCAATTTCCTCGAATGTGGATCCGTCAAGTAGTAGAGCGTACCCTTCGCCATTTCTGTCGCTAACCATTGAGATAGCTACCCCTGTGTTTATAATATACACTTGTGAGGACTCTGCCGAACATCCTTTAACATGACTTTAGAATTGCGAAACTAGGAAAAAATGATTTCCATGAGAAAACTGCAGAAGGTGATGGGATTGTAGAAAATGGTCTACTGCAATACATAGTTTTCATTACTGAATGCAATTAGACAGGATTAAGAGAAATAGTTGTCTTTTTAGCCTCGGCTTGACAATCATTATCTAGGAAAATAATATTTTAAATAATGATTTTTAGGAGAATGGTTGGTTAAAAAGCATGGGAAAGTTTTGGTTTACAACGTTTTATTGTGTAAATGTGTGGTTGAAAATGAGTATATAGAAAAAAGAATTTTTAAATAATGGTTGTCAAACAAGTAGTACTAAATACGTAAGAAGTGTTTTAGCTAGGTTGGATCATATATAGTTTTATGGTGACTCTATTGAAGTCAATGGAATATGTAAAGACATTGAAGACATATGATACGGAGTTTTGGATAATATTGGACAAGTATATAGTAACTATTCAATCAAGTTCACCTTACCACATGTCGTAAAACATGTATCAATTTAATCACCTAATGGTAGCAGTTGGTAACTTTGTCAAGGAGGTAGAAAATTGTGAGAGTTTTGTTGTTAGCTTACCGTCATCTTCCTCAGTTGCACCAGGACGAGCCACAAATAATGGTTCTGAGGGTATAGAGCCCTCATCGAGCCAGTTCTTAGCCTTTTTCTCAAATAGATCGATCTGCAAAACAATTGGTAATTCATATGCCTTCTGTAAAACTAACGATATATTTGATAAGTTGAATTGGAAATAGTCACAAAACAGAAGAAAACATGACGAAGGAAGAAAGACATGATGAATACTGTCAGTCGTCTAGTTGAGTTTGAACTTTGAACTGAACATTAGCACTTCAAATGTATCGTAACATGAAATTGCGTTTACCTTGGTGAGGGTGTTTGGGAAGTTGCAAGGGCGTTGAGCTCCACAAGCATAGGCATATCTGTATTTCTTTCCCAAATAAGCAGGATTGATGCTGCACATGTCCATTCCTTTTCCATGTTCCTCTGGTTCCAATGCTGCTTCTAACGTTCCATATGGAGACCCATCCATCGGTATTCTAAATCGACCAACCCTGTACACACGACCTTGTACTTGTTACTAATTTCGTACAATTTCATACAGGGTTAACACACTATATCTCATCTATCGAGCAATTATAAGAGAATGTGTTTGTAGGATACATGAGCAGAGATGTTGCAAACTCGAGCCTCGATAAGTACATGCTATGTACAATTTTTTATTTTTTTGTCAGTCGATGGGAGAACTAGAGTAGAAGAATATGCTATTTATGCAAATTGCAAATGCATAAATAGGCTTCAATGGAGTAACTATCGAGCATACTTTTTAAGATTTCGATTCCTTCAACATATGATTTATGACAATGATCCTAGGTATTTTGTCTCAATATAGAGAGCCCACACAATTTGTTCCAATGTATCCATGCATGCAGAAGAAGTAATTAAAGCCTACGTAAAATATATAGTAGTGGTTCGGCCACAACTGGGTACCTTTTTTCATTTTCAACACTGAAAATGATATGATACGTCCAAAGTGGGGGACAATTCCAAAACTTAATAAATCATTAATCAGTGGATCAAATAGATGTTTAACAAGAATATGAAGCCTGCACTAATTAAAGGTTCCAACAATCATGTCGTATAATATATTAGAATCATATAATGTTTAGATATGAAAAAGTTAATTATATTAAGGCCCCCAATTTTTTAAAATTCATTTTTTCTCCAAATTCATTTTCAAACAAACATTTTATGATACCCACGACTTTTATTAATTTTTCAACTACTCATATCGTCAACATATCAAAATAGACTAAAAAATCTAGTTTCTAGTTCAATTGAATAGGGGCTAATCGGCAAGTTAGAAGATTTACATTTTTCCCCACTAATCGAAGTTGAAAATAAATAAATTTGCACATAGTTGTACCTTGCATCCGGCAAGACATCTTCACCAGAGAACGATCGGAGATTTCGTAGCCTGAGCTTTTCCAGGATTGTTGTGTCAGCGTTGTGTTCGCAACAATCAGCAATAATGGCCGTCAATCTTCCATCTTCATCTTTCTCCTCGTATGCATTGATGAAGTGAAAGGTCACATACAAAGGAACTTCTACACTTGCCACCTTCGAATTCAAGGGAAAAAAAAGGTTTTTAGATAAGCAAGCCCTAAAATTAGTGTATCTTTAATACTGCCCCATTACTAAATTATGATATCCTCACCGTACATATAAAAAAACAGTTCTGATCTCCTTGTACCTTTCGTCTATAACAACAAAATTGTAATTCTTGATATTGCTACAATCATCAGTAGATATGAAGACTTTTGATTCGTCGCTAACCAAACAAAAACTACTCTTGAGAGAGATTATGTTATTTAGAGGGAGAGAGAAACCTACAATCTTGCCACTAGCTTTACTCATAACATGCATGAACCCTTTCGACTCCGGGTGCCACTCGAATTTGTACAGTGGTGTGGGCTCAGCTTTTAGCAGATTTTGGGCACAATATCTCAGTGGCATTTCTGGCACAACAACGTAATGTTCTGTAACTGGAAAAGAGTGAACCCAACCTGGGGCAGGTCCACCCCTACACCCCACCCTACCAATAATTTTCCTCTCATTTGTGCCTGGTTTCATTCTTACAACCAAGTACCCAGGATTTATCAAATCTGGCAACAACGTTAAAAACTCAGAATCTGTCACAATTGGATGGGCAGAATGTATTAGGCCACCTAATGAGTCACTGTACTCAAACTTTCCAATTGTGTCTAAAGTGTTTGGATCAATAACAATTGACCCTTTTATTGTTTCTGTTAGACAAACAACTCGTCCGTCCCCGAGTTTAACGACTCCGGTATTGGCGTTATCCGTCAATGAGGCACCAGAGAATAAGTTGGCTAGATCGCCAATGTAGGATAGGAAATTGTCAGGTTTAGGAACTTCAGAAAATTCTCTGTAGCAAAGTTTGTTGTTCTTCTTGGCTGCCTTGTATGCCTCTGATTCGATTTGCCGGTGTCCCATCACGAGACGGCCATTTTCGAAGTGCAGCCGGACTAGTGTTGCGTAGCCGTCGAACAGGTGTCGGAAACCGTAATCTCCGATGTGCCAAAGACCTGGACCGTTCCTCAGGTACGTTCCACTCTGCACAAAATTATCAAGTTATTGGTGTCCTCTCTTTCCTTTTCGTTTTTAAATTTCTTAGGCCGGTTGATAAAATCTCAGTGCTCTTATGTCCATTTTTCGTTGCTTTACTCAGACTCTCTAGAAATTACATAGGAAACGGGATGGCGAATTCCCTTTTTCAGGCTGAGATCGACTTTTTAGTATAAAATAAGACATTTAAAACGACGAAATTTGTGTACGCTCTTTTTCACTTCGACATAACAAAAGTTCTCTTTAGAAAATTTCGCCAACTATCAAAGCCACATTATTATGTAGGGCTAATAAGGACAGAATAATTATAAAATTAAATATGCAATAAATATTATATTTGAAATGAGACTTCATATCTCCATCTGTACTAATCAGATAAATGAATTATTTTGATTTTACCTGACAAGATTTGCTGATGAAAACATATTTAAATATTACTAATTACTATATTAATACTGACTAGTTTTTTCTATAGCATATTAATATTAACTGGCAAATTTGTCTTGAAGCTTGACAGAAAAATATTTTTAAAAGAGAAGATATTATGAAAATGATAATGAAGACACTGAAAAATTGAACTTGCTAGAAACTAAAAACGCTAAAACCAGAGCGAGAAATATTTGTATAATGATTCGACAGTTCACATCTATGAATTACAAAGAGAATAAAACTATTTACGCAGCAAAACACTAATAAATAAAAGAAAGAAATAATGATTATGTGACTGCACACTGTAATAACCAATTTATCGTGAAGGACACTTTCTGAGAAAATAAACCAATCTAGTCTTCGAGTGGCCTTTATTTTGTTGTAGTGAGAGACTGAAAGTGTAGATTTTTGAATTTGAAGAAACCCTTTCTCAATCAGCAGTTGCTAGATAGATTCAGTGCAAATAATCACAATAATTAATCATTGTGTATATACACAGAAAGAAACACATACCAGCCACAGTGGTATTTCTCCTTGAACAATAAGCTCTCCTTGCCAACGCTCCTGCCTTATACTACTCCATGCCGCGAGCTTGCTATCGTTCGGGACCAACTTTCCTGGCGACAAGGGAACAACTGTAGGCTGCGGTTTGGTGGCAACATTCATAATAGTATTGTTGGAATAAACACTTTTCCTCCTAGTGGAATACTTAACGTTCTCAAAAATGGATTTTTCATCCTTTGAACAATCATAAGACCTATCAAGAATCCTCACTTTCGTCGAAAAACTATAAGATTTGGAGACAGGAAATGGTAGAGAAGCCATTAATGAAGGTTACTAGCTAGCTAGGGATGAGTATAGCTTCCAATATGCGACAAGAACATATATTTTGACAAAAACAAGGATGTTTGATTGCATATTTATAGGGGCTTATGTAAGGATTTGTATTTAAATTAGAGGAATCTTAATTGGTGAAATTCGTTTATACTAGTAGACAAATTCTTGGTTACCGCAGTAATTATGAATTCGTGGACAAGGTCTATAATAACTTACACCTCACCATGCTCCACCAATGAGTATTTTCAAACTTTTCTTTTTTAAATATAATTAGCACATGGAATATCGTAGTATAAAGAAAATGCTT